CCCACACCCGCACCCACTCACACCCACATTCACCTACACCCACATTCATCCATACCCTTAAGAATGATGTGTATAGGTTTGCACTTATGTTTTTCCTTTTCTTTAAATAAGAGAGAATATCGAAGTTTTGGAGAGTATGACACAATGGACAGATGTTCGATATTCTCATGATTCGTCTCTTGATACTCTTTTGTTTTATTATGTTGGTTGTTTCTTTTTTTCTTCTGCTCGAAAGTATGACTGCATCCTTGTAATGCGAATATAATAACTTTTTTTTTCTTGTTTTCCAAACAGATTTATGAGCATATGTTTTTTCCATCAATTACCATTTTCAACGAAGAAAACGAAATGAAGCAAAATATACTTCCATTTTAAGGTATGAGAGACAAGCTAGGCCTCATGGAAGTGTAAAAACTCTGCAGGCACTAGTTATTTTTAGCTGAAGAAATTGCTGTCATCTATTTAAAATAAGACCATTTTCTAAAATATACCTTTTCTGCTAGTTATTTCTTATTTCAAGTAGACTTTCACGTACTCACGCGACAAGACACACATAGAGTGTCTCTTGCTGAAAGTACTCTAATGAGAAGAAGGCATGCTAATATCATTGACTAATTTGAAATAAAATCAAATTTTCAAGAAAATCTTTCGCTTCGAATGAGCACATATTTGCGTAGAGATAGATTCTATTGAAGGAGCATGCTTATAGATATGACCGGCCTAATAGCATTTCAGTCGAGCCACGATGAGAACAACGAGTTAATTTTTTTTTTCTTTTAGCGTTTACAGAAAATTTTTGGCAGGATTGTTTGCATTCTCTTGAACTCATACGTCAGTCGGCTAGGACGGTTTCCTATATCTGTATGTCTACGATTCTATCCCTTTTTCCGCGAAAAGACTCTTAACACATAGTTTTTCTTTTATTTTTCTTCCGAGTGTTTGTTGCCGTCCGCAGTTTTTTCTTTCCTTTTCAGACCTTGAAAGTGCTTCGACTCCTGCCAGAAGTCGACAAACGTATTGTTATTTAAATATATTTACGGATGCTAGCCAGTTGCATGCTTCATGCATGTTTTTTTTAACTCTCAGCTCGTCTTGATAGAAACGCATGATACTGATTCTATTCTTTTCTATCATCGATGGGTATACTGTTCCTCATTTTCGACAATAAGTTAAGAAAAACCATGAAAGAAAAGAGATGGTGAAGTTTTCTTTCGAAGTATTGGCTGTTGACGGGAAAAAATAAAATGTTACCTTGCGCTCAATAATCATCGATTTTTCGAAGCTCTTGGCTTTCTCATTTTAGACTGATTAATGGCAACCAGAAGAAAGAGCACTGTGTGTTGTAATCTGTGCTGTGCCCCCTCGATAGCAATGTGCGTTGCGTGTGATCGCTATTTTTGTTGGAACCATTTTTGTGAACATCGTCGATCTTTTGAGAGATATATTGATGATGCTCTCACTCATAAACAGCCTCTCTTGAAATGTTTGGAAGAGTTTGATCAAGTTGAAAAAGAACTTCATTCGGCTATTGATAGTTGGGAGCGCAATGAAGTTGCCGATGTTCATCGGTTAGCGCAGGAGATCAGGAACGCGCTCGATGCTCATATCAATCATTATCGCTCCCATTTCGAAGAAGAATCGTCAATTATAACCAATACTGAATCAACAAATGGAGATGATCAATCAATTCAAATTGAAAAATTACAAACTGAATATGGTCGTGCCTTGAAGAACATACGTTTGACACCAGTTAATGGTCGACGACCTATGTTAGAGATTCAAACAATAAATCCCATAAGAGAACAAATTTCATTGCAAGACTCATCGCCCATCGTACCACAGCAATGCGGCATTTATGAACCGCAGACAATACTAGGCAAACGACTTATCAAGGAGCCTTCATCAGCAATCGCTGTAGGTGGTTATTGGGCCATAGGTGGTTCGGACGAGTATTTACTTGTACAAGAATATGAAAATAACCAGTTGACATTGTTCGATCGATATGGCGCACGAAGCCTCTCAATGACTTGGCATTATAATGTAGTGGTAAGTGATGGTAGCATATATAGATGATAAACAAAATATTGTCACAGCAACAATAGCCTGCCTATTTCTTCTTCGTTAACGGACTTATGCACACCAAAATTAGGGATTTGACGACAAAAAAGTGAAGCATCAATTTTCTGATAGCTCGAAAGGTGCATACACAATTTTTTACAATTGGGAAAGTGCACATTTTTTTCATTAAACACTGGTTTTTGCTATGAAAAAATCAGATTTTTCTCAGAGTCGCGTTTGCACATGCTCCTCCGCTATGATGATAACACATCACATTCCATGATGTTCAACATTACGGAATTAGTTCCGCATCCGGAATCAATTCCCTCCAATTCTGAGAACTCAATCATTGTGCTACAAGAGAGGTCTAATCGATCTTGATCGAGTTCGGGAAATTTCTGGAATTCCGGATATTAAATTCAAACAAAAATAATGGGGATTCTGGGAGTTCCTCCTAATCCCGAAATTTCTGAAACTGCTTCTAATTCCGGAAATCCGAATAATTCCGTCTGAACTCATTTCACAGAACTCCAGGAATTGGTGGAACTCGATCAATGTCGATTAGTTTTGCGCTGTAGCATGATGATCGGGTTCCCGGAATTGGATAGAACTGACTCCGAGGACGGAACTGGTTTCTCAATGTTTAACATTCCGGAATAGCATGACTATTCGATCATTTACATCTGCATTTGACTCAGTTTGTCATCTGCTTCTGCGATGATGTCGACATTCCCATTGAGTGATAATAAAAAAAAATGTGATATCCAAACTTAGCAATTCGCTTTCAAAATGTATCCTTTCTCAATATGGATAGAACAATTGATTGGAGGCAAAACCTGCAATGGAACCAAGGAGAAAACAGCGAGATTCCATCTATTTGGAGTAGATTCCATCTACCCAAAAAAAAGTTGGAGTATCAATGAAATTCGAGTGAAGTACGCACTCTTGGAGTTCTGCTTCCCCTCTTTCCTTCCCCCTTGGAATCATCGTAAAATTTACGTTTCGTCTCACCTCTTTTATTCAATCTCCGGATAGAAGAAAAAAGACAAAGTGTTCCGAAGAGAGTTTCGTAAATGAAATACAACAGAAAAATCGGGTGTTCGGAATGAATTCCGACAATAGATTTTCAAAGGGTGAGCAGTGAAATTTGACTGGAGATCGGAATGAGAATGTCCGAAAGTTCTTAATGGCCAAGACGTGGAGATCGTAATAAAAATGACGAGATATTCGTAAGTATGTTCAAGTGAGACTTATATTGTCATTGATGTGATCAATAAATGAAGTCTATTATTGTCTATAAAAACAGTCTTTATATCAATACAATCTTTTAGTAAATTCTTTCATGAACGCCCTGTCAATGCCATTCCATTCTTCCGGTACGTCTCTGGAAGAAGAACCAGTAGACTTACACTCCGAACTCTCGACCTTGTTCATTACGATCTCCAGGCGTTACATTAGATATAGCAAGAAGTATTCTATTCCGAACATCCAGTCAGGCCATCCTGATTTGCTTGATTTCTATTATGATCTCCCGTACAAAGGTGTTTACGAACTACCGGCATAAATTTTTTCCGATAAAAATAATATCCGAATACCCGGTCACATGTCCCGGTGTTCGGAACACCTGAGACGAAACGTAGTTCACCCGAATTATCTCGTTTTGATTTCAGTAATTTTATTGAAAGGAAATCGACAGTAATCGAAACAATTGTTTTTGCTGAAACCACATTGAGGAAGGTTGAAGTATCATTAAAAAAAATGTAAATCTCCACATAGATTCGTGACATCCAGTGGAATCATTATCTACGTCAATTTTTTCTTTTACTCGACAAAAAACTCATGGTTTTCGATCCAATCACAAAACATTTTCAGAACATTACTCAAATAACACCGTATCAGGCCAATCGTTTTCGCCGATGTGCCTACCTGAATGATCGTCTCTTCATTGTATATTGGGGGATGGAGAGTACGATCGATCTGTTCCAGATTAGTTCTTGGAGTTTGCAGCAGCGATGGTTGAGTCCTGTAACGTGTCATCCAAACGAATGCATTACCTGCATTCGACTCAGTTCAAATGAACAACTCGCTTTGAGCATTCAAGATGAAAACAATCCGACCAGTCGCCAATTTCGTATCGAACTTCGTGATATCACCCTTAATATTTTACATATTCTTCCGCTTCATGCGGATGACGGCATTTTCTCACGTATGACACCGCTAACCGATGGTTGTTGGGCTGTGCTGAATGTAGATACAAATCGTATTTATATTGTCAGTGAACGTGGTGCATTGATCGATAAAATTGACGGTCATTATGAGAAACTCCATAATATCGCTTTGATCGGCGAGAGCATCGTTGTAATTCGTGCCGACAAGACGCTTTTCTTCTATGATGTGCAATTCCACGAAGAATGAGAAAGTCAATAATCAATAACTATGATGAAGTGAAACTTAATTCTTTGCACAAATAGTTTCTCACTGCGTTTCGATTATACTATACTTACTATTATTCTATACTGAACCATATATATTATAGCTAATTCCTTACATTTATACTTGACCACTTATTTCTATATCTAAGCTCTTCTTTGTATAAGAACTCCTCCTTTTTAATATCTTATCCATTATTTCTATGTGAATCAGCTTATTTCTATATCCAACCTATTACTTCTGTATGTGCCCTCTATGCTTTCACGTGGCTCCTTCTTCATATGACGAATTCGTTCTTTTTATGTACTGTATCGTGGACCTACGTCTCACTTGATAAATCTATATTGAACTCCTAGATGAGGAATATAAATCTTGCGGATGATGGTGAGGGTGTGACGCAAGAGTAGGCCCTCGTCCTCACTCTCACCTCTCGATTAATCAATAGGCCGAAGAACGTATCTCCTCTTCTTTATTACATAATCATGTAAAAAATACGCTTTCCGTTTATAATAAAAAAAGAATATAGATTCCAGCAATTTTTTAAAGTTTTCCCCAACAATTGCAACTCGTATTGACTGGACATTCCGCATGTTCCCAGAGCAAGTGAATTTGCACCAAAGTTCAGCATGGGGTTTTCTTCTTTCTTTCTCATGGAAAAACACACGGTTTTTCTATTGAAATACTGATTCGAAGCACTTTATACGAACAGTGAATAATAGAACTTATGAGACTTTTATTGCTGGTCTTTTTCATAACAATTAAGGTTTTTTCTTATCTTCCTATTCTATTTTTTGTGGAATTCACATATAAAAATGTGAGTGTAAGGGTGTGGGTGTGGGTGTGGGTGTGGGTGTGGGTGTGGGTGTGGGT